CCAAAAACACAAATTTGCCTCCCCTCCCCCACAACATCCCAGCCTATAGACTGGCTGCAAGGACAGTGGACGGTGTCCTGGTTTTCCTAGAACCCATAGGGTTCACTCAACCTTCTCAGCGGGCCCACTCGGTGTCAGCAGCTTCAGAAAGACCAAGCCAGTGCAAGCCCCTGAGAAAGATCTGGCCCCATCTCAAAAGGCCCCTGCAAGCCAACAGTCAGTCCTGCAGAAGGAAGAGGCAGAACTCATGGAATCGGCATCTTCCTCATTCTCTCCTGATGAGGCCATTAAAAGCCCCCGCATCTGGTGCCGCATGATGACGTGAAGGCACACAAGGAGCTCCTGAAGCAAGTTGCCTCCAGTTTGGGGCTCCATGCTGAGGTGTTTGAGTAACAACCAGATGCACTGTTCGATGTGCTTAGCTCCACAGCACCCTTTGGCATGGCCTTGCCCTTCCATGAGTGTGTTATAAAAATCACTAATGTCCTGTGGCAGATACCCTCATCTCTGCCACCCATTTCCAAAAGGGTTGAGAGGAAATGCTTTGTCCTGGCTAAAAGCCACAAGTATCTTTACACTCACCCAGCCCAGAACTCTTTAGTGGTAGAGGCAGGGGCAAGGTCAAAGAATAAAAACTCCGAGACTGAATTTGTTTGGCTGTAAAATGTATTTCTCCTCCAGCCTGCAGTTATGGGTGGCCAATCCTCTTGGGCCGCTATGATTTTTAATGTGTGGTGAGCCATGGCAGAGTTCAAGGAGTTGGTTCTTGGAAGGAGATTGGGACTCTCCTGGAAGACGGCATGGTGGCAACAAGAGCTGCCTTCTAGGCAGCTTCAGATGTGGTGGACTCAGCTGTCTGCATGGAGATTTCTGGCTACTCCTCTAGTTTGTCGGCGGAAGCTCAACAGTCTATGAGAGACCTTCTGTTTGATGGCAGTGCCCTGTTTGCAGAACAGACAGGGATGAAACTACATGTTCTTAAAAACTCCTGCATTACCCGTAAAACCCTGGCGTTTTACATTCTCACCCCTGCCTGACCAGCCAGGAGCCCCCTGCCAAAGAGAACAGGAGCTACAAGCCTGTGCCAAGTTATTTCTATCTGCCCCACACAATAATCTAAGAAATCATTTTGAGGGTGCACCCAAGGGCAATATACTGGACTTCTCTGTGGATCCAGTATCTTCCCTCCCTCCCCGCCCCCAGTTTGGCATCCATCTTACCCACTTCCTCCCATGAAGAACTGCCATAATGCTGGCCCACTGGGTCCTACATACTGTTTCTCAGGATTCTGTCCTCCAATTCCTACCATGCCTACTCCACTCCCCATCCCTTTTCAGTGATCCCCATCATGAGAGTCTACTTGCACAGGAGGTTCAGGAACTGTTCTGATTGGAGGCAATGAAAGAAGTTCTGCTCCAGTATCAGGACTAGAAGCCCTTGTTCTGATATTTTCTAATTCTGAAGACCAAGGGAGGGCTTGGCCTATCCTAGACCTGAGATACCTCAACAGATACCACATGGTTAAGTTCTACATGATCTCCTTATCCCCATCATTCCCACTCTGGATCTGGGAGACTGGTATGCCTTCCTTGATCTGAAGGGGACAAAATTTAACATTGCAATCTTTCTGGGTCACAGATGTTTTCTTAGATTTACAGTGGGGCCTTCACACTACCAGTTTTTCAGTCCTCCCCTTTGACCTGGCTGTGGCACCAAGGATGTTTACCAAGTGCATGGCAGTCTACTTCAGACATAGGGGCATCGAGATTTATCAGTATCTCAAACTAGTTGATCAAGGTCAGTTCCAAGGTCCAGGTCCAACACGACATAGTGGTCCTCCTAGACACCTGCTGGTCCTTGGGTCTGCTAGTCACTGACAAGTAGTTCGTACCAATTCAGAGGATAGACTTCATTAGAGTAGTGCTCAGCTTGACTCAGGCAAGAGCATTCTTGCCCCTAGGCAAATTCCAAGCCCTGGCAAGCCTCAAAACAGGTGTCTAAGTTTCTCCCGACTGCACCCAGGGTCTGCCTGTGTCTGTTGGGTCATGTGGTGGCATATGCATTTGTAGTCCGTCATGACAGACTCTTCATACAGCTGCTCCAGCAGAGGCTGGCATCAGCTTACTACCAGTCCCGGGACCACTTAGGCAAAGTTGTCACTACCCCCCCGGAAGTACTTACCACCCTGCAGTGGTGAACTGTTCCAGAGAATGTTGTGGAGGAAATCTAGTTCAACACTCCTGCTCGGTGTCTCAAAATAGTTTCCGATGCCTCAGATCTTTGCAGGAGTATGTACCTCAGCGATCTCTGGACCCAGAGATTGTCCGTGGGCCCTGGTGGATGTGGGGTTGCATATAAATGTTAAGGAACTCAGAGCAGTTCTTCTGGCCTACAAGGTCTTCCTGCTGCGTATGTCAGGCAAGGTGGTACGAGTCGTCACAGACGACATGGTCTCAAGGATCTACTTCAACAGGCCGGGAAGGGAACACTCATCTGCTCTCTGCCAGGAGACACTCCTTCTCTGGGATTTCTGCATAAGTCACAAAACCTGTCAGGAGGTCAGTCACCTCCCAGGAATAGACGTCCTGGCAGATTACCTCAGCAGGGACTTCTAGATGGAGCGACCACTCACGGTGAGAAGTGGCCTGTGTGGTCTTCCAGAGATGGGGGTTCCCCCTCGTGGATCTGGACACCATTAGATAAAACAGAAAGTGCCACCAGTTTTGCTCCCAGGGGGGACTGAGCAGAGGTTCTCTCTCCAAAGACTGCCTTCTGTCGTGGTTTGAAGGTCTGCTGTATACATTCCCACTGATCCCTCTCAGCCGGGTCCTAATTCAGATCAACAGAACAAGGCTTGAATGAACATGATCGCCCCAGTGTGACCTTGCCAGCACTGATTCAGCACACTCATTAACAGAATCCCATACTCCCCATAACCCTTTCCTAGCCATCTGAACCTGTTGTCCCAGGACCACAGTCAGCTCCTGCATCCCTGCACCTGTTGATGTGGAATGTGCCTTCTTATAAGAAGTCCAGCAGGGCTTGTTGGAAGGCAAAAGCTGACCGTGAGGCTGACCTAAAAGGTAGAGTGAATGAGGTTCTTCCACTGGGCATCAGAGTGGGGTATCTCTCCTAAGCATGCTCAGCGCAGTCCGTTCTAGATTACTTGCTGTAGCTTGGGACCCCGGGCCTGGCACATTTCTCCACAAAATTCATATTTGCTTTTCATAACCTGCTTCAGGGATAGACAGTGTTCTCCCATGACATGGTGAGATTCCTGCAGGGCCTCAAGTGACTATCTAGCTGGTCCTCTCCCAGCTCATGCAGATCCCGCTCCCTTTCCTATTTGTCCTGGAAAGAAGCGTCCCTGGTTGCAGTGACTTTGGCAAGGCATGTCAGGGAGATAAGGGCTCTGACTTTGGAGTCTCCATACCCAAGGACAAGGTCCAGCTGTGGCCCCACCTGGCCTTCCTGCCAAAGGTTGTTTCTTCTTCCACGTGAACCAAGACGTATTCCTGCCTGTGTTCTGTCCCAAGCTTCACAAGATGATGGAAGAGAAGTGTCTTTGTACTCTGGATATTTGGAGGGTGTTGGCTTTTTATCTGGAACGTACTAAGCCCTTCTGCAGGTCTGTGCAGCTCTAGTCGCTGAATTGATGGAAGGAACAGCCTTCCAGTTTCCTTTCAGCAGCTTTCCTGCTGGATCACTTTGTTCATATGGACTTCCACAGGTCCCTCTGCCACAGATCATTCAGGCCCACTCAGCCAGGGCTCAGGCATCCTCAGCAGCCTTCCTGGTGCACGTTCCTTTACAGGACATCTGTAGACCTACAATATGTCCTTGGTCTACACGTTTACATTTCAATATGCCATCACTCAGCAAGCCAGAGGTCACACTGTGGATTTGGCAGACAAATGCTGAAATCAGTGCGGCCATGAACTACCAGTCTCCATAGGTACTGCTTGGAGTCACTTAATGTGGAATGTACATGAGCTATCACTCAAAGTAAGAATTACCTGTTCCATAACTGGGTTTGTTTGCTCATGTCCGTTCCATGATCTGCTCTCCTTCCCCCACTGTTGGAGTTTCCAGCAAAAAGGAACTGAGAGTGGGGGAGTGTGCCCCCCCTTATACTGTGCTATGCAGGCTCCACTGCAGTGGTCCCCAGAGCTGCTCCCCGCTGGGTACTGGGGAAGAAAAAACTTCCAGCACCAGTGCATGTGGTGAGCACATATACCTGATCTAGAATAGACATAAGCAACACATCTGGAAGAACACCAGTTATGAAATAGGTAACCTTCTCTTTAAGACAGATTAAGCTCAGTTACACATCCCCAGCCCTGCTGTCTTCAGATTGTACCATCAATAACAGGGGCAGTCAGTCAGTCTTCTCATAGTAGGAAATAAATTATAACCTACTGATGTTTAGCAAATCATTTTGGGGTAGGGAAGAAGAGGTTGGAATTGATCTAATATTTAAAGTTATGAGTTTGGCTTGTGGAACAGAGGGAAAACCTTTAGAGAGATATGGAACTTTTTTAAAGATTTCAAGGCATTGAATCTTTAAAAATGTCTCAGATAAATTTGAAAGAAAAAACAACTAGATTAGTGGTGGCGATGTTTTTGGGGGAGGAGTGCTTCTGTAATGACAGTAATTATTTTCTTTTTCTTGTTAGGCACCAGTTTGTAGAAAACAACTTAATACTAAAAATGGGTCCAGTAGATAAAAGAAAGGTAAGTCTCATTATCCCAGCAAAATGTAAAATGTCATCATCTTGCACAGTTGCATCTCTAGCATTGCTAAGGAACCTCTATTTGGAGTTCTCAAATTCACATAGGCAGTTCTCAACAATTACTGTAATCTACTTGCCCATGGCGAGTAGATTACAAGCCGGCACAGCCGCACAGCACGGTCAGCGCATGTGCAGCGTGGTCTGCGCATGCGCAGTGCGCCGAACTGCACGGCTGGCGAGCCCTGCACATAGGCATTTTAGTTCTGTCCCAAATGTACTGTTCCTTTATAAGATGTCCTAACATGTCATCGCAAACAGCTTTTCAATAATTGAATGTCCTTTCTTCTATTTTAAATTTTATTGTACCCTCTTGGTGGGACAAAAGCTGCAGTCCGATTTGTAATCAACTGTGCATGGAGATGTCTTCTGTCTTCCTCTACGAATTTGATTAGTTCAGAATTATGCTCAGTTTTCAGTTCTTGATATGGATGTTTGCTGTGTGCAGTGTTGGATTGCTAAGGTCTGAAGCTAGAATAGAGGCTGCTATTGTCCTAAATCTAGCTTTTAATCCTTTTGAACTAGAATGAAACAAACTCTCATCCTAAGTGCAACTCCACTTTCCTTCCCTGTCTCCTACATCTGACTTAGGGCTACTTTAAGGTAGCATTAAAATCAATTTAAGTATTTTAAATATAAGGTTGTTGTCACTTAACTGACTCCAGTTAACTGACTCCAGTGAATTGTCATGAACTGCCTATAAATGCAAAGTGTCTTCACCTCAGTCATTATCTATTTACATGTCTCTGTGCATTTTCTCTTCGGAAGTCCATTGTTGTGATTACTTGCTTCTATACAGGGAGCTAAAAATCTCTGAAATAGATGTTGCTCTGTTACAGTGTCTATTCAGGGGCTGTGCCCCCTGCTTGCTATGCTCACCAGCTCCCCCTCTCTCAGGGGGTAGGTGTCTGATGGCGGGGGGGAGAGGTACAAGAGATGGGGAACGTGCAGGAGCAGGCTGGGGGTAGGTGTCTGGCGAAGGGGGAGGGGGCAGGGTGGTGAGTAAGGGGGCTGGAGATGCAGGGTCTCAGCTTGGGGGGGATATGAGTGAGCAGGCTGGGGTGCTGTGCGGTCTCATCTGAGAGTGTGTTTAAGGGGGCTGGGGTGCTGCAGAGAGGGGAGGGTGGATAGCTTGCTGCTCCTGCCTCACCAAAGCCCTGGGTGGGTGGCTGCACAGCTCCTGACCCCTTCCCCCCCCTCCTCCCCCCGGGACTGGGTAAAAGAGAGACTGCATGGCTTGCAGCTTCTGCCCTCCTGGAGCACCAGGGAGAAGGGAGGCCACACGTTTCACAGCTCCCTTCCCTGGAGTGGGAGGAGGGAGCACAGGCCGCACATCTCCCTGGCCCCCCTGGAAGGAGGGACAGTCTTGTGGTTCCCACCCCCCAGAGCACCAGGGAGGTCTCGCAGCTCCCGCTCCCCTGGGAAGGGGAGGAGACCTAACTGTTTGCAGCGTTTGGCCCCCCCCAGAGCTCCAGGGAGGGTTAGGCCACATGGCTCCCACTCTGCTGGAGCACTGGGAAGGGAGGGAGGAGGTAGGGCAGCTGAGGGCAGAGAGGTGGCGGGATGCGGAGTGATGTGGTGGTGTCACTCTATGATCCTGCAGGAACATTTTTTTTCTATACAGAGATATTACCAGCTGTTTAATTTTTTAAATTCTCTTGGAGCTTTGATAGAGGAGATTAACTATTTAAAATGCTGGTTATATTGACACTGCAGCGGAAATGCATTAAGATATGTACAGAAATGTAGTCAAGAAGCAGAAATTGTTTATACCATGCTATGTGAGCTTCTCAAGTCCCTGCCCAAATTACATACAGTGCAAGTTACATATGATGTAGGGGAAGAGAAAGTGGAAAGCGGACAAGAATGGGAACAGAGGAAGAGTGGAAAGTTAGTGAGGATGGTTTAGTGTAGTCGTTTTAAAGTAAGTTTAAAAAAATAATTTTATTAACTTTTACAGGATTTAGAGACATTTTTTCTCTCTCTAGGTCAGAGGTGGAATCCTTTTTTGGTTGGGGGCCGCTGAGCCACATATGTCACTTGAGGGCTGCATACAAGTGAGAATTAGATAACTTTGTGGAAGATAGGTCCATCAATAACTGTCAGGGGTTCAACCCTATGCTCCAAGTGTCCTTAAGCTTCCAGCTGCACTGACCAAGACAGACTATTTGGCTAATATGACAACGAATCTGACTCTGTGTGGCCATTCTTATGTTCTAACTTTTTGAAATTGTAATAACTTCAGAAACTTACCAGAAGACCAACTCTGAAATTAGCCAACTTATATTAATTCTGCTTCAATAACAACGCCCTGAGAGAATCAGAATCCCACATTGCCTTATTTGTGTCTAATAAAAAATATTGATTTTATCAGTGAGCACAAAATGCATACATTGCATCACGAGTGTGCTGCCTGCCAGTCCACATACAGGCATTTGACAGATTACTGGTGAGATCAATAGAATAATGAAAGCTCTCGTTCCTTTCTCTGATTCAGGAAAGCATATCAATAAGTGCTAAACCCCACTGACATCACTCTGACTTCAGTACATGCTTTAAAAGGGGTGTAGGCAGAGAGAAATGAGAGAAACACTCACAGCTCTGAGAGAATAGAGCTACTAATAATACTCAGTTCCTTTGACTTGATACGTTGTGTTGCTGCTACTGTTGTCTTTGTTAGGGATTGTTTGCTCGTCGGCGCCAGTTATTGCTCACTGAAGGGCCCCATCTCTATTATGTGGATCCTGTCAACAAAGTTCTGAAAGGAGAAATTCCATGGTCACTAGAGCTGCGACCAGAAGCCAAGAATTTTAAGACTTTTTTTGTTCATACAGTAAGTGGCTATCTTTAGGGTATTTTCCTAAAAATATCATTTTAATATCACTTTAATTGATATTCATTGGTAAATTATTGGAAATGAATTTGAAACTTTTTGTTTTTAGAAATGTTTAATTGCCTTTTGGAATGGGTTCCATATGAAGAGAGATTAAAAAACTTGAACTTTTCAGCTTAGAAAAGAGGAGACTAAGAGGGGATATGATAGAGAACTATAAAATCATGACTGTAGTGGAAGAAGTGAATAAGGAAAAGTTGTTTACTTATTCTCATGCTATAAGAACTAGAGGTCACCAAATGAAATTAATAGGCAGCAGGATTAAAAAAAACAAAAGGAAGTTTTTCTTCACTCAGCGCACAATCAACCTGTGGAACTCCTTGCCAAAGGATGTGGTGAAGGCTAGGACTTTAACAGGATTCAAAAAAGAGCTAAATAGATTCATGGAGGTTAGGTCCATCAATGGCTATTAGCCAGAATGGGTAAGAATGGTGTCCCTAGCCTCTGTTTCTCTGGAGGTGGGTGACGGGGAGGGATCACATGAGGATTGCCTGTTGTGTTCCTTCCCTCTGGGGCATCTGGTATTGGCCACTGTCAGCAGACAGGATACTGGGTTGGATATACCGTTGGTCTGACCCAGTATGGCCGTTCTTATGCCTGTATACTACAAAGATTTGTAGAGTTACTCATGAGCGGGGCTTGACAAACGGCGGCAAAATCTACTCGCCAACCCCGCACTGCACATGTGCAAGACCCGCATTGCGCATGCACGCACCTCCGGTGAACAGGGCAACTGGCTGAAATCTACTTGCCACGGGCAAGTAGATTCAGTGATTTGTTGAGTCCTGCTCATGAGTGCTAAGGTGCTGGTTTTAGTGTGTTTCTGTGAAAAGCGTGCATTAATTTTTTTTACAAAGAAATATAAACTTCAAATGGATTGTGTGGTCTAGAAAGATGTGCTTCAAGAGGTTGATTTTCATCTTAGTCTCTTCAAAACTGAGTCAAACTGCTCTTGTATATTCCATAGTGCAAGTAAACAAAATTTCTTACCAGTATTGGAAGGGAGGGTATTCCATCGAAGAGGAGGCCACCTAACTCCACCCTGTCCTCAGCCTGGGACTGCCACACTTTTCCCCTCCTCTCCCTTCCCTGTGTTCCTTGGAGGCCCTTCAGCAACTGGAGGTGCTGCTGGCAGTTCTGCACCCCTCCCTGCTGCACATCCCAGTTCCTGTCCCTCCATGGAGCTGCTGTGCCAGTGTTCCGGGATGGGGGGGGCAGGGCTTGGAGTTCTGCTACTTTTCCTGCTGGCCTTCCCAGCTGGCCGCCTGTGTACAGGCTAGAAGAGCGGGGCTGGCAGTTCTGCTGCTTTCCTCACTGTGGGGGAGGGGTAGCAGGGAACGGAGCAGAATGCCAGGAGCACCTTCAGCTGCCATAGTGCCTCCAGCACAGTACACAGAGACGTTGCAGCCAGTGGAGGGGGTGGGGATGGCCAGCAGGGAGTCTTTCTGGTACACCAGAAATAACTTAGCGGTAGCCCCCATGCACTACTGTACATAGTGCAATTGACTAGAATTGTGCCAGCAACTTACTGTATCAGTTAATCAATCCACAAATCTTAAATGGAAAACCATTTACCAGCTATACAGTTATCCAGAAGTCATGCTACTTGCTGCATTATTACAATTGATGTTAATTGATATGTTCCTGAACAAATGTTTTAATCATTTAAAACTGAATTAGTTTTGTTGCTACCAGTAGGATATTTATTGCTTTTTTTCCTGTTTCTTGTCTTACTGTTCTTGAAATAGTTATTAAACTATTATTTATTGTAGCCTAACAGGACATATTACCTGATGGACCCAAGCGGGAATGCTCATAAATGGTGCAAAAAGATACATGAAGTTTGGCGGCACAGATACCATCAGAATGCTGCTAAATAGTAACGCTCATCCAAAATGTCCCAGTCTCCCCACTTGCTGCTAGAACTCCATGTGCAGCCGATCAGAGGAATCTTCCCAACCCATCTATTCTCCATCTCAAGGGGAAGCATATGTCTGAAATATTTTTTTTAAACAAGAAACATAAATGGAATTCAGGGTCGCTTTGCTTGCTCTTTGTGCTTCTGTTGAGGCTTCCACATGCATATCGTTGAAGTGAGGATCTTGCTTTTGTGCACTTCAGCTCTGTTTCTGCTGAAAACTAATGGATAAACCTTGCATTACCAGCTTTACTTAAGATCATTTAAAACCAATCTACACGCACACACCCCAGATCATGTACCAGTCCTGCACTTTATGAGGCTGGGATTATTTCTGTGACTTTCAGATTATCATTAAACTGTATTTCATCAGGGAGCTTTTAAATGCCTCTGCTGAGGGGTAACCAGCACCTCTTCTCTTTATTTTCTGTCTTTTTTTTTTCCTGCTTATTGGTATCTGACTCAGTCAGATTGGTTGCACCCTTGCATAACTCCTAATACAATTCTGGTTGCAGGATTTCCGTGGTACTTATTATAATTATGTGAGTAAATCAGATGTATGTGTCTGACAGACAGACTCCAATGATACAGTTGTAAGAAAGTAAAATACTGAACATGGCACTGAAAATTTTCTAAAATTTAAATTCTGGCTTTTGACGTTCATAAAGTTTTAAATATGGAATTTTAATTTGATGCATTTACATGTTTAATCAAGGGACAGTAAAGTTACCAGCATGCTTTTAACTAATACTAACTAAATTAATTTAACTAGTTAGTATAAAATGTTACTCTTGAGATAGTAATTAGACTCTTCACCTTTTCAGGAGTTGAGGGCAAATAGCTTCCTTTCCAGGGTGTGCATGTATTGTGCATTTTAGTGGGGCCAACCTATTTTACTTGGGTAGAGAAGGAAGAGTGAAAACTTTGATGTACAATTGATGACTTGATTTGTCTCTTTGTATAATGAGATGTAAAAATATTCTTGTCCTGGTCATTGACCAAACAACTTGCAGACCTTTTAGCAATTCTGAAAATATTTTAAATGATTTAAATATAATAGTCTTATACACTAATCTGAATAGTTGAAAGTTCAAATGAAAATGTTGATACAAAGGAGAAAATGTATGGTACTTTAGTCATATCTATAAATGTTTCTTTACTATCGGTCTGCTACATCCTTTTCAAATTAAATTGTTGTGGTCAAACATTTCCTGTGACATAACAAAGACTTTGCTTTGTAGATGTTAAAAATAACTTATCTAATAATGTTTTCCATATATCTGTGCTTCTGGGTAAATAGATCCCCTGGAAAGAGCACGCCCATGCCTGGACAAAAACATTTCTCCCTCATGTTTTAAGTAGTACAAATACCACACCTATTCACTATTTTCAGAGAAGTGTCTGATCTCTGCTCCTTTGCCACTTGAATTGTCTTTGTACAAAGTACTCTTCCCACCCAGCCTCTATCCCCCTCAAAGGAAGATCATCCTGCTGTCAAGACCATTGATGGAGTACATTTTTTTGTAGTTAGTCTGAAGGTCCTAGTAGTGATGAAGCAATGCTAGATTTTTCCAGATGTACCTTACAAGGCCTGTTGTGTAACAGTTTGATGTCAGTATTTTCAGATCCTTAAAGGATCGGCTACTTTCCTCAGAGTTCTCTTTGAAGACATACCAGTGTGCAGTTAGATCCTGTAGTAAAGATTCCAAACAAATACTGTACAAGACATTCGCTAATCTGCATGGTCATCTTTTGCTGGGGGGGAAGGAATGGGCAGTACAGTGTCTCACAGGCTCCTTGTATAGAGGGAAAAGTAGAGGATATTCCTCCTGTTAAAGTCAGATGCTAGTCTCAAAATGACTTCACCCCTGCTCCAAAGACAAATACAGGATTCCTGCAAGTACATTAACTCACAGCCAATATAACATGCTGTTGCTTTTGTGGAGTTTGTGGCAATGGATGCCTGTGACAATCAAAGCTGTTAACTTCACTTACATGTCAACTCTGTGGCAGTGCAGCAGGTTTTGGATTACAAATCTGTAACGCTGTACTATAGACAGGTATTATTCTTACCTTCCATAGAAGTGCTTGGTTATGGTGGATCTGTACAGCACCTCAAATGTGTGCACTTCTGTTACTTTAAATGTGGTATCTCAAAGCAAAACACAGGCTTGCAAAGCTGTGGATTGTTATGGGGTCTAGCAATGACACCACTAATTTAAACAGAAGATAAAGTAACATCCATAAACTTCTTTTCAGCTTATTCTGTTCCTGTTCTTTCTGTAAACACGTTTTATGTAACACCAAATAGTTAAGCAACCCCCCTCTTGTCATTCAGAAATATTTCCTCCTTTTTGCCCACTTTTAAAAAAAGTCCCATAACATCTGATCCTTCATAAACTTTCACCCAACGAGAGGCAGCAAGAATGATTACAATCACTGCTGTGTAGATAGTAAATGTTGGGTGTTTGTATTATGGATTCCTTGACTTTTTTTTTAAAAAAAAAAAGACAGTATTGCAGTTAGAAACTTCTCCAGGTGACTCCTGCATTAAGCTGTCTCTCCTCTGCATATTCATGTTCCTTGCTATTAACCCACACTCAGCAGGTAGGGTTTTGGCCCATGAAAAAGTAGTTTTGGCTATTATTCTCTTATCTAGAATAGTTTACAATATTGAATGCTACCTTCTATAGCAAGTGAAACCTCACAAATAACAAAATCAGCTGCTAAAACTTTTTTTAATCTTTTTTCTCATATTACGTGGACACAGTCTATAATGTAAATCACAAACCTTCACTGAGAAATGGACGCTCTTTTTGTAGTGGAAGGGAGCAGAAGCAGAGCCAGAGGCTTGCCAGCCTTAATTTCTGCTTTTATTAGAGGACTGATAGGTCAAGTGAAAGTACTTCTCACCTCAATGTTTCCTCTCTGGTGAAGACAAGAATAGGCTAGGAAAGGCTGCTACTTGCTGTTGCATCTGTAGGAGGGGACCAAAACTATTGTGGGAGAGACTTCCCACAGTCATTTTCCTGTGGATAGGGGGAATGATAAGGGAAGATTGGGACTATGGGAGAATAAGACAAAGGCTGTCACATGGAATGGGCATATTCCACAGCTTTGCAGCCTGCTTAGGGTAAGAATGTAAGCGACTAGTCGCTTCTTCCCCCTTGTTGCCTCTATCAGAGAGTGGCAGCAAGGGTGGGGGGAGCTGGCTTAAAGCCGGTTCCCCCCCAGTACCATCTCTGCAGGGGGCAGTGGAGGTAGAGGCTCAGTGGGAAACAGCATGAGCGGGGAATGAAGCAGTCTCTGCTCACACCACTTCTGCTGATCTGCTTTTGAAATGTACAAGAACCAGAGTGGGGCTCTTGTACATTTCAAACGCTGAGGCACCACAGGGAACACCAGGCCTTCTGCTTTCAAACTGTAGTAAGAGCCATGCAGGGCTCTTGGTACAGTTCAAAGGCAAAGCTGGCCTTATAGACTAATTGAATAGTCAATGGAAATCTTATTGACTATTGGATTAATCTAAATTTATCAGAAAGTGCTGTGTGGTTCCTGCTAGGCTAAGAGTTCATTTTATCATTTCTGTACCTCAGTGTAGAGATGTCCTCATGGACAAAGCAGTTGAGTGTCTTGTGCAGGAACACACTTGGTGGTTCAGGAGAGTGCAGAGAGATGTTAAATGGCCTGCTTTGGGGCTGCAGGCAGGCCATTTACATCCGTTGTGATATCCAGAAAGGAAAAGTATAGCGGGCCACTAGCAGCCTTTGGGTGCTCTTGCCCCAAATATCTTCAAGAACATAGCATACTGATTCATTCACTCTTCTTTCCTGGCTACAGTTACCCAGATTTCCAGAAAAGTCATGAGTCAATGTGGCCATGATTCAGATTAGGATATCTTTAGTTTGATGTCAGACCCCTGAAGTGTACTGAACTCTGCTGAGGGATCTGCTTTCCATTGAATGGAATCTTCTTGAAGAAAAGGCAATGGGATTGTTGCTAAAAGGTACTTAAACCACTTTCCTGCCCTTTGCAACATTGACCAGTCTTGTCTTCTATACAGCTTTTAAAAAATGGCATGTTCAAGATTCCTTTGCTAGGCTAAGTTTATTTTATCAGCATTTGTTTCAATGTTCTAAACCCTCTTCTGATCAGGATTTACTTTAAGAACATTGACATTCTAGCTCACATAAGCATTGTTCTTCAGCTTTCGAGGATGTATAGTATCTATCACAAGCAGTGTCGTGACAGTCTTGGAGTTGGAGACTTTAAGACTTCTTGAGAATTATGAGTGTTGCCCTTGTTGCATAGTGTAAATAAAGTGTGTAGGTATTCTGGTAGATACAGCTCCAAAAAACTTCCTGTGAGGTGGGTAAAAGTACTGTATCCATGCTTCAGCTTTTGTGATCTCATATTAGGGATGTTATGTAGGACACTGATGTCTTGCATATTGGGCACTTTCGAAAGATCCTGGGACTTAGCCCTCACAAACTGAAGAGACTGTTTCTCCTATGTTTTTGGTGACTACAGAAATCCAAGTTTAATTATCAGTGAAATTTCCTCAATTTTAATAAGCTATACAGCTGTTGTCTATTATCTCCTGCAAACTTTGATGATAAACACTGAAAATGTGTGTGTAGCTGTATTTGTATAAATGTGTGATGTGGAGGCAGATTACATGATGCAAATGCTAAGAACTTTGCCTGGATGAGCAGCGCTAAACTCATTCACTTCCAGATTTTTACTGTTCATGCAGGAGCAAGCCTTATTGTGAAGGGACGTATAATTTTTTGGAGCTATAGATCCTATTGGCTCAAAAAGGCTTGTGTCCATGAAAAAAGCAGTATTTATATAATGAAGCTCTTTCACACACAATTCTGACTGGGAGCCGAGTAGTCCAACTGGATCACATCACTTTCCAACCTTTGATGAGGTTCTGTGCTTGTTTGAGTGGTTTCCTTTGGGGAATCAGACCATTATTAATGTCTCAGCTGTGGAAAGAAGGTACATGATTTGCTAAAGCTGGGCTCTGTGGAAGCTACGGCTAGCTCTCCTCTTTGTGTTGGTATTTTAAAAACTGATGTGTGGTATTTTTATTACTTGAAACATCTGGTGAATACTTCAGCCCTTTTGTCTTTAGGCTAATATTTTACTAATCAAACTATGAATCACTCCTGCAATGTCTCATGACCCAGAAACTGTCAATCCTTTCAGGTAAGTAATTCTCTTTGAACCAGAGCAGTGTATTTTCAGCTAAATTGGGAAATTTATAATCAAACTGGTAATCAGCATTTCCCTGTAACTTGTTTCCTCTGCTTTGAAACACAGCTATGAATAGTAAATTCAGAAATGGAAAATGTTTCTTAAAGTGTCTAAAGCATGCAATGGTCCATTCTGCCTTAGTGACAATGAATGGGGATAGTTGCTATATTAAAAGCCTATGTACTAAGCTTGACTGGATATTGCAAAGTCTCCTTTAACTTGTGGCAGAACTCACAACTGCTGTATCTAATTAATTAAAAAAAAACCAAACTAGGAACTATAATCAATTTTGATAGGTGTTAGCTGTCTTTCAGATTGGTGGCAGTCAGTTATAATGTGTGTAATATTCTCTACCTGGTTTTTAGCTGTAACTGTGATGTACAGAAGAAGCAAAAAATAAAGCAGCAAATGAAAACAGAAGCAAATAATGTTAGGATACACATTTTTGTATTTTTATTCTTATAAGGTTATTTGCTGGCTCGCGTTGGCCTCTAGTTCAGTCTGTGTTATTTAAATTCTAATATATGGATTATTTGGATTGAGTTCATGTTCGGGGCCATGGTGTTGTATGTATTGATGTACAGCCTTGAATGTGAATAATTATTGTAAACTATATTTTACACTTCTCTGGCTTTGTTATATACATTTTCTATGGGTCGATGGCTGAATGCGATCCCTCCGCGAATGCCTGTCCCCGCCGCTCGTGCTGTAGATGTGCTGGTGCCTGATGAGGAGTTGTCACTGCTCGATAGACTTGTAATAAAAGCATGTAGGGTCCTCGGCCGGCTCCCGCCTCTTCTTGCGCGCCGCCCTGCCGGGCCGAGCGTACTTCCGCCGGATGTCCGTGGAGGGAGGGGACCGGGCGGGAACGCCTCGGATTGAGGGAAAAGGGAGCCGCGCGGACACTTCCGATGCTGAGAGCTGCGGCCCCGGAACGGCCGGCCAGGATCCATGCCCCGGGAGGCCCCAGGACGTGCGGACGGCTGTCGGGCCACTTCCGGCGGGCTGGCATTGTGAGCAGATACTTCCGGTGGGAGGGTTGGCGGACCGATATTGGGGTTGCACCCTTCCGGCGGTGGTGCGAGGATGGCGGTGGAGAATCGCTGCGAATTCCCGGTTCCCGCCATGGGCGGCCTTGGCCTTGGGGGGGC